GGCGGCGCGACTGAGGTAGAGAGGGACTGAGTCAAGAGGCACTGGATCCCCACTGTCTGGTCACTGTGTGAGTACTGAGTTCCCTTTTGGACTTCTTGTTTTAAGACACAAGTAGAGCCCCTCCTGAGGAGACGGGGAGGCTCCTGCAGGCCTGCCAGGAGGTGACAGAAACTGCCGGAAGCATGTGAAGTGGTGGGGAGAAGGCCTTGAGTTGCCCGGAGTGCTTCTAGACTCTCACGGGTCTGCATGCAGGAGGCAGGTTGTAGTTGGAGGCCTGGCCCCCAGCCTAGTGCAAGGCGTTCGGTGTCCCGACACCCCCACACCTCTCAGAACTCCCGGAACCCAGCCGAGGAGTGAAAGCCAGTGGCCAGAAGAGGACTGGGGCCCGGCCTTGCCAGGGGACTGACTGGGGAGCGAGGAGGAGCTGTGGTTGGGGCACTGGTCCCGCAGACCTGGAAGCTGGGTTTGGTCCCGGGATCTTTCTGGTAACCGTAGACCGGTCATGTTGCCTGCTGCGGCAGCGTGCCTCCTTATTTGCCAACCGTGGGGAAAGTGCCTGCTGCGGCAGCCTCCAGCGTGCCTCCTTATTTGCAGACTGTAGGGAAAGCTGCCTGACCCACCTAGAGAGCTGAGGGTAAGGCCGTGTGCAAACAGGCCTGTACAGGGCATGGTGGGTCACGGGGGCTGTGGGGGAGGAGGGCCGGTGGCAGACAGTCTGGTCCTGAGGCCTGAGCCCCATCCTTGTTCTGCCACAGTGGCCAGGGTGTGAGGAGGGTCCCAGTGCCGGGGCTGCCCGCCACGCCTCGAGTTCACTGTGCCATCTCTGTCGGGCAGGGCCGAGAACTACTGGTGGCGTGGCCAGAACACGCGGACGCTGTGTGTGGGACCCTTCCCTCGCAACGTGGTGACCTCCGTGGCCGGCCTGTCAGCCCAGGACATCAGCCAGCCCCTGCAGAACAGCTTCATCCACACGGGGCATGGCGACAGTGACCCTCGCCACTGCTGGGGCTTTCCAGACAGGATCGACGAGTGAGTACCGGGCGGGGATGGGTGCCCCGCTGGGGACTCCAGGGCCCTCAGCACGGCACGCATGGGCTGAACCTGTTCTTCACCTTTCGCTCGGGCTTCAGCCCGCGACCCGCGACCCTCCCCTCCTCACCCCGGCCTTACTCTCGGGAAGCTGTGGAACCCTAGAAAGCCCAGCCTGGTGGGGATTCTCCCGGGGAACGTGCTTTCCCTGCCGTTTTCAAGCTTCAGGGGCCGATCTCCTAACTCCGAGACTGACTTCATCTGTGAAATGGGTCCACCCCCCGATGAGGGGAGGGCTGTAAATGCACTCTGAATTAGAACGTGCTGCCCAGAGGCAGGGGTCCTGAGAGAAGCTTTCCTGCCCATCACAGATGAAAGTAGGGTCAGGAGCCTCTGAGGATGGACTCCTGTTTGGTGGAAAGGTCTCTGGAGCCACAGCTGTAACCCCTCTTGGGACCCGGGCCTTAGGAAAATGGACTTGGGAGGAACCCGGTGGAAGCTGCTGAGGGGCAGAGCTGCTCCCATGACCCCCCCGTGACCCCCTGTGACCCCTGCACGCGAGCAGTGGTTTTCCTTCTCCTGCCGGTGGTGCCAGAGTCCTGGAGACGTGAGCCCACTGGCTCGGGCCCTGGGGATGTGTGCAGGTGCACGTGGGAGTGAGCCTGCTTCCCAGAACCACAGCAGGACTGGGGACCTTGGGGACTGCAGAGGGAACGTTAGGTGGCAGGTCCGCCTCCCCACCGCACAGTACAGAGCTCACTCCGTACCCGGGAGGGGCGCTGCCTCCTGTGTAAGAGGATAAGGCCGCTGAGGGGCATCTGGGAAGGACGCACAGAATTGGCCACTTCGGGATGCTACACCCCAGGGAGGCCCTGGAAGCTGCTTCCGCCAGGCCTCCAAGCCTCTCTGCTGGCCACAGGGGGATTCCAGGTCCCTGGCCTCTGCAGCCCTTCTCCTGCTGACTTCTGATACTCTGGTCTGTCCTGAGAGGCATGGAAAGCAGGGGCCTCCGGCCACCGGACCCCACACACCAGAACTCCAGGCTCACAGGGCTCAGCCCATGCGTTTTGCCTAAAAAACCCAGCAAGGGCCTGAGGCTTGGGGTGAAAGGTTGCAGACACCTCCGGGAGAGGGTGGTGCCCTCTGCCCCACTCCTGGCACGCCGTGGCCAGCCCAGCCTCATTCCTCCGGGCTTTAATCAGCCCCAGTGACTAAGTCTTAGATACTGACAGTTGGTGCAGGGACGGAGGGTGGATCCGCAGCAGGACAGGTGGCCCAGCCTCTCCCGCACCTCCTGGCCACCCTGGCCGGGCACCATAGCTGGATGCCTTGTTCTCAGGCCCCCCATCGTGGCCTGCAGGACAGAAGTGTGTGCCCTCCTGCGGCTGCCTGGTGTGGGCTAGGGGCCTGGGGCTTGTTGAGGACCACCTCTGCCCTCGTAGGGTGCAGCTGGGGCCCCTGAAGTCCTAGGCTTTCCATCCTGGGGTCAGATGTCCTTTCTCTGTCCTCTCTCCAGGACACCCTGGTGTGTCTCCTCTGGTTCCAGCTGAGATGAGTGGTCAGGATCTGTGGACTGGGAGGCGGGAGGCCTGCGCTCCAGACCTAAGACTACACTTGGTTTCCTCCAGGAGGAAGGGGTTCTGATAAGATTCTGCCGTCCCTCCACACGCTTCCCCTGCTCTCTTGACCTGGCTGTCTCCCCCACAGACTGTATCTGGGAAACCCCATGGACCCCCCCGACCTGCTGAGCGTGGAGCTGAGCACCTCCCGGCCCCCCCAGCATCTAGGAGGGGTGAAAAGTAAGATCCCCTCTGCTCCTTGGTGTCCCTGATTCATTGGCTGCTCAGGAAGGAGCACTGTGTTCACAGGCCACCCTAAGCCTGCTCCTCTGGCTCTGGGGACAGTGGGGTCAGGGCAGCAGGCGGGACAGCTGTGTCCCTGGCTCTGGCTGGGCGTGGGGTGGAAGACAGGCAGCTGTTTCCGCCGAGGTGGGCCTCCTCAGGCTGGGTCTGCAGCAGCCCCGTCCGCCCGGCGTCCCTCCTCCCTCCTTCCACGGCCGAGCTCAGATCCTGGCTTTCCTCACTTCCCCCTAATCCTGCTCTCCTGTCCCAAGCCAAAACCCCGCCATGCTCCGGCTCTGCCTGGAGCCTCCTCCATCTCCCGGTCCTCTGCCTGTCATACCAGACTGCCGTGTTCCTCATCCTGCCGCCCGCGGCCTCCCGTGTGCTGGGGGCTTGTACGTTCACTCGCCCCCATTCACTTCTCTCCCTTCCTCTCTCTCCACACTCTGCCCTCTCGTCCGGCCGTCTTCCTCCCTCGTCCTCTGTCCTGTTCTGTCCCTCTCCCCCTGTCCGCATGGCCTTTCTTGCAGGGGAGCCTCCACCTCGCCCACCTCAGCCTGCCTTCTTCACTCAGAGTAAGTGGGGCTGCTCCCGATGCCTCGGCCCCCGCCCCCGCCCCCTCTCTCTCACTCCTCTCCTGGAAGGTACAGAGCCCGGGCAGCTGGGTGGGCTGGGAGGCTGGTGTGTGCTGTGAGCTTCCGCGGCTGACCTGGCCTAGCATGCCTTCCTCCTCCGGCCTGCCCCCCAGAGTCTGGGCTTTGGAGCACGAGTGTGGCGCTGGCTTCCGCCTCGGCCTCACTGCCTCTCAGACCTGCCTGGGCTTCTGGAGCACGAGGGTGGCGCTGGCTTCCGCCTCGGCCTCACTGCCTCTCAGACCTGTGGGCACTGTCTGGGCTTCGTGGCGGTTGGTCAGGAGCGCTGTCCTCTCCCAGGATAGTTCCTATGGCCCTGATGGCAGGAGGCGGCTCCGTGCCTGCACTAATGGTGTGCCGTGGTGGGGGCGGGGGTGAGGGCTTACTAACGCGCTGGGGCCCAGGAGCAGAGCTGCCAGGGTCTTGTGCTGATGGAGGGAGCGACGGGCAGGAGCCAGTGTTGCTTGCTCCAGCTCCGGTGGAGGGAGGTGGGGCCCAAACGGCGCTGCCTGCTGGGCAGAGCAGGTTCCGCCCTCCTGATCGAGGGGTCGGAGGTGCACTGAGAACCTGGCAGCCAATGGCTGACCTCAGACCTCGGGGGGAATTGGGAGTGGAGGGTTGCTGGGGGACACTCGGCTTTCTTTCCCATGTGCCACCTTCCCTGTGCCCCTGACCCGGCCTGACTGCCTTCCTGTCGGGGTCTCCCTTTCCTCACAGAACCAGCCTATGACCCTGTGAGCGAGGACCAGGACCCCCTGTCCAGCGACTTCAAGAGGCTGGGCCTGCGGAAGCCAGGCCTGCCCCGAGGGCTGTGGCTGGCGAAGCCCTCAGCGCGGGTGCCGGGCACCAAGGCCGGCCGAGGCAGCGGGGCCGAGGTCACGCTCATTGACTTTGGTGAGGAGCCCGTGGTCCCGGCCCTGCGGCCCTGTGCGCCCTCCCTGGCGCAGCTGGCCATGGACGCCTGCTCCCTGCTGGACGAGACCCCGCCTCAGAGCCCCACGCGGGCACTGCCCCGGCCCCTGCACCCCACGCCTGTGGTGGACTGGGATGCCCGCCCGCTGCCCCCTCCGCCCGCCTATGACGATGTGGCCCAGGATGAGGATGACTTTGAGGTCTGCTCCATCAACAGCACCCTGGTGGGCATGGGGGTCCCTGCTGGGCCCAGCCAGGGTGAGACCAACTACGCCTTTGTGCCTGAGCAGGGGCGGCCGCCCCCTCCCCTGGAGGACAACCTGTTCCTCCCGCCCCAGGGTGGGGGCAAGCCGCCCAGCTCTGCACAGACCGCAGAGATCTTCCAGGCGCTACAGCAGGAGTGCATGAGGCAACTGCAGGTTCCGGCCGGCTCCCTGACCCCCTCTCCCAGCCCAGGGGGTGACGACAAGCCCCAGGTGCCCCCCCGGGTACCCATCCCCCCTCGGCCCACGCGCCCACACGTCCAGCTGTCTCCAGCCCCCTCGGGCGAGGAGGAGACGGGTCGGTGGCCTGGACCTGCCTCCCCTCCCCGGGTACCCCCGCGGGAGCCCCTGTCCCCTCAAGGCTCGAGGACACCCAGCCCCCTGGTACCACCTGGTAGCTCCCCACTGCCACCCCGACTCTCCAGCTCGCCTGGGAAGACCATGCCCACCACCCAGAGCTTTGCCTCGGACCCCAAGTACGCCGCCCCCCAGGTGATCCAGGCGCCTGGCCCGCGGGCCGGTCCCTGCATCCTGCCCATTGTCCGGGATGGCAAGAAGGTCAGCAGCACCCACTATTATTTGCTGCCTGAGCGGCCGTCCTACCTGGAGCGCTACCAGCGCTTCCTGCGTGAGGCCCAGAGCCCGGAGGAGCCGGCCCCCCTGCCTGTGCCCCTGCTGCTGCCCCCACCCAGCACCCCGGCCCCCGCCGCCCCCACGGCCACCGTGCGGCCGATGCCCCAGGCTGCCTCGGACCCCAAGGCCAACTTCTCCACCAACAACAGTAACCCAGGGGCCCGACCACTAGCCCCGAGGGCCACTGCTCGGCTGCCACAGAGGGGCTGCCCTGGGGATGGGCCAGAGGCGGGCCGGCCAGCAGACAAGATCCAGATGGTGAGCACCCAGCCTGGCTGTGGGTGAGGCGGGGCAGGTCCCAAGGGGCCTGGAGCAGTGGGTCCTCGTGGTGCTGACGGGGGTGGGGGTGTGCCCAGCTGCAGGCCATGGTGCATGGGGTGACCACAGAGGAGTGCCAGGCGGCCCTGCAGAGCCACGGCTGGAGCGTGCAGAGGGCTGCCCAGTATCTGAAGGTACCGCCACCTCTTGCTCGCTCTGGCTTTTAGGGACGCTGAAGCCTGGTTCTGCTGCCCCCAGCCCCCCGCCCCCTGGCTCCAACTCTCCTCTTCCCCACCCTAGTTGGTGCCCTGGGTCCGCGTGTCCATGGCACCACCCTTACCCCCAGGTGGAGCAGCTCTTCGGGCTGGGTCTGCGGCCCAGAGGGGAGTGCCACAAAGTGCTGGAGATGTTCGACTGGAACCTGGAGCAGGCAGGCTGCCACCTTCTGGGCTCCTGGGGCCCTGCCCACCACAAGTGAGTGAGCCCCACAGTCTGCCCCGCTCCGTGCCCCAGGAGGGGTGTCCCGGAGCCTGCCACGCTGGGAGGAAGCCCACCTCGCAGGCCACTCCCGGCCAGGGAGACACGGCTCTCCAGCTGCGGGAGGGAGGCGCGCACGGGGCTCAGGAAATCGTTTCTCCTGAATGTGTGTGTTTGGACGTTTTAGCCACTTGGTTTTCAAACAAGTACAAGAGGGAATTGGAGCCTCTCCAGTTGAAGAGACCTTGCTCACCTAGCACCTGCAGCGACCCTGAGCGTTTCCAGGGAACGGTGCTTTAGGGCCTCGTGATTTACACACCTCTGTCTCACCTCTGTGTTTCCGTATTTCTGTTTAAAGTAACATTTAAAATTTCAATGTTGGCCGGGCACCGTGGCTCATGCCTGTAATCCCCAGCACTGTGGGAGGCCAAGGAGGGAGGATCACTGAGGTCAGGAGTTCGAGACCAGCCTGGCCAACATGGTGAGACCCCGTCTCTACTAAAAATACAAAATTTAGCTGGGTGTGGTGGTGGGCACCTGTAATCCCAGCTACTCGGGAGGCTGAGGCAGGAGAATGGCTTGAACCTGGGAGGCAGAGGTTGCTGTGAGCTGAGATGGCACTACTGCACTCCAGCCTGGGCAACAGAGCGAGACTCTTGTCTCCAAAAAAAAAAAAAAAATTTTTTTTCACTAAAAAGAAAATGTATTGTCTTTCCTGTAAAAGGTTTATATTATAGTGTAACAAAATATAGACATTTAAAATATATACATATATAAATATACTTTATACATTATGTAAATATGTATATGAGAGTGCTGCCAAGGCAAAAAGCAGTGAACTGAGGTCAGATGGGTGGAGCCAGCATCATGGCAGGAGGTGGGGCCAGGCCCTGGAGATGGCAGCTCAGTCAGGGCCTGCTGCCCTTGTCCCAGCCACGTGGCCTGTGCATGGCGCTGAGTTTCTCCATATGTAAAATGTGTATATAATAGTGCCCACCCTAGGTTGGGCGTGGTGGCTCACGCCTGTAATCCCAGCACTTTGGGAGGCCGAGGCGGGCAGATCACGAGGTCAGGAAATCGAGACCATCCTGGCTAACATGGTGAAATCCCATCTCTACTAAAAATACAAAAAACTAGCCGGGCGTGGTGGCGGGTGCCTGTAGTCCCAGCTACTGGGGGAGGCTGAGGCAGGAGAATGGCGTAAACCCGGGAACCAGAGCTTGCAGGGAGCCGAGATCGCGCCACAGCACTTCAGCCTGGGCGACAGAGCAAGACTCCGTCTCAAAAAAATAAAATAAAAAAATAGTGCCCACCCTGTGGACGGGACTGGCGCGATGGATGGGGGGCGTGTCTGTCACATCACGCACAGCATGCCTGGCATGAGGACACAGGCACCCCGTGTCCTCCGTCTGTCTCATACTGTCTCGGGTAGTTCTTACTGATTTACACCCGGGACGCAGGCACCCCGGGTCCCCCGTCTGTCTCATGCTGTCTGATTTACACCCGGGACGCAGGCACCCCGGGTCCCCCGTCTGTCCCATACTGTCTCGGGTGGTTCTTAGTGATTTACACCCGGGACGCAGGCACCCCGTGTCCCCCGTCTGTCTCATACTGTGTGATTTGCACCCGGGACACAGGCACCCCGGGTCCTCCGTCTGTCTCATGCTGTCTCGGTGGTTCTTACTGATTTGCATCCACTCAGGCTTGGGTTTTTTCGCACCGGTCGTCCGCAGATTCTCTAATACGCAGGAGTGCTAGTTAATTTACTCATCGTTTATTAACGTACAGAGAAAGGACATCCAGGATGATAAATGTCACAGTTCTTGCCGGGCACTGCCAGCTTCCAGTGGTGTTCCCTGGCACCAGGAGGCAGCGACTCCTGCGGCCCCCGGTACCCGCCCCGCTGACCTTTCTGTAACCTGTGTAACTGCTGGTGGTTTCCCATTCTGCAGGCGCTGAGACGTGTCTGGAGAGCCAGAGGACCTGGCTGAAGGAATCGCCTGAGCCTGTCCATCCACCAGGGGTGGGGAGATGCTCCCATCCAGGCCTGGAGGACCTGCTGCTCCCTGTTGCTCCTGGGGACGGAGCAAGGCCAAGGCTGCGGGAGGCTGGGAGCCCCGCCCTGCCCATCCCTCCCGCACCAGCGCTGTCCCTGCAGACTTTGGTTCGGTGCCCCAGCCAAGAGGAGGAAGGGGCCCGGTGAAGACAGGCCTGGGGGCTGCCCCAGCAGGCTCTGGGTATGACCTGCCTCTGGCCCGGGTCCTGGGTGGGGCCTGTGGCTGGAGTAGTGCCCCCAGGCCCTGCCCTGGGTGACCAGACGGGGAGGAAACCTGACTGGACCTGGGCAGGCAGGATGTGTTGGCCACAGAGAGAGGCGGACCAGCACCCGGTAGGACCTCCTAGGACTGGGCCTTCTTCCAGGGGGCCCCTGGCAGGCAGTTGGGGTGTCGGGCAGAATGTGATGTGTGGCCTCACCATGGACTTGAATGGGACTTGGCTGGCCTCAGGATCTTGTGCCTGGAAATAGCCTGAGATGGCTCAGGAGGCAGAGAAAGGGTGCCAGACCATTCTCTGGCGGGGACCAGGGCCCAAGGCCCCAGGGCTGGAAGGAGACCAAGGGGCAGCCGCCCTGGAGGGACATCAGTGCTTCCTCTTCCACCCAGCTTCCCGTGCGGTTCCACGTTTTCCCACCAGCCTGTCGGCAAAGTTGCTGCCCCAGCATTCGGTACCTGCTTCTTCCAGAGAAATAAAGTTAGTTTCTATTTTATGTTACTTACTTGCACCTGCCTATTCCTTTGCCTGTTGGTCAGCAAGCTCCAGCCCCAAGTGAGGCTCCCTGGGCCACCAGCATCAGCTCCGGGCGGCTGGCCTCGTGGCACCACCTGGAGGCAGCGGGAGGGCGTGCAGCCCCGGACACCGGGAGGCGTCTCCCCTTACACAGCCGGCAGCCGGGCCAGAGTCCCCACCGGTCTGGTCAGTGACTTTCACAGTGCCTGGATTTCTGTAAGGCACAGGGCCTGGATCTCTGTAAGGCACAGGGCCTGGATCCCTGTGAGGCTCAGGGCCTGGATCCCTGTGAGGCTCGGTGCCTGGATCCCTGTGAGGCTCGGTGCCTGGATCCCTGTGAGGCTCGGTGCCTGGATCCCTGTGAGGCTCAGGCCTGGATCCCTGTGAGGCTCAGGGCCTGGACTTCATTTGCCGTATGGGGTTCTGTAAGGCGGGATATATGCTGCAGGAGAGAGCACAGCAACTCAGTTACACGGAGCCAAGCCAGAAATGTTAGGAACAAGGAGCCCTTCAGTATGTTAGGCATTTTAATTTTGTTTTTCTGAATAACTCATATATTCACACGGTTCAAAATTGAAAAGGCGCTGAAGAGTGTACAGTGAAATGACCCACCCCAGCCGTCCACTTCCCCAGCCCAGAGACGCCTGTGTCACCAGTTTCTTGTGTAGTGCTTGTTGTTTTTGTTTTTTTACTTAACAGTATTTTGAAGAATTCCATAGCAATATTGAACGTGCTTCCCCATTCTTTTTTTTTTTTTTTGAAACAGAGTTTTGCTCTTGTTGCCCAGGCTGGAGTGCAGTGGCGCGATCTCTGCTCACAGCAACCTCTGCCTCCCAGGTTCAAGCGATTCTCCTGCCTCAGTCTCTGAGTTGCTGAAACTACAGGCGCCCGCCACCACTCCCGGCCAATTTTTGTATTTTTAGTAGAGACGGGGTTTCTCCATGTTGGCCAGGCTGGTCTTAAACTCCTGACCTCAGGTGATCTGCCCACCTCAGCTTCCCAAAGGGCTGGGATTACAGGCGTGAGTCACTGCGCCCAGCTGGGCTTCCCATTCTTTCCGGTTGCTTGGCTGTACGGGTGTACCACAACCTACTTACCTGGGCTCCTTCTGATGAAGGGCAATTTTAGTCGTATCCGGTCCTTTGCAGTTATACCCATTGCCTCAGTAAATGGTGTACGTGGGCACATCAGTCTGAAAGATGAGTTCGCAGCAGTGGGGCTCCCGGGTCAGAGTGTGCGCCGTGGCGGTGGGTGCTGCTGAACCTGCCCCCAGTGGAGGGGCGTCCTCAGTTGTCCACCACCTGTGCAGGAGAGCGTTCCGTGTGTTAAGGAGTTTTCTGATCTTTGCCAGACTGTTAGAAAATAGTGTTTCTGTAGTTTTAATATGCATTTCTCTTATGAATAAACTCAAAAATAAGTTGAGCCATTTGTGTTTCCTTTTTAATGAGTTGCCTATTAATATCCTTGGCCCATTACAGAATGTCAGATTATTCGTCAGTTTCTTTCTGCTTTCCAGGAAATCACTAGGTCAATTAAGGAAACTAGCTCTTTGAGCTTCACATAGGATCATGTGACCTTGATAGGAAAAGAGGTAAATCATAGGAAAGTAGGCTGATGACTCGGGTTTATTGAAAACAAACAGGCCATTCAGGATGAGTCTGGGCCACGTGTGTGTCTGTGGCTATAGGCTGGCCTTTGGGAGTAGGCCCTGAGGCTCAGAAGCTCTGAAGCCTGGCAGATTTGCATATGCCGTTTGCAAAGGCAGGAATTCTATTTTAACTGTGATTTAAAATACCTAGTCAAATAGATATAAAAAGGAACAAGTTCTTTTTTTTTTTTTTTTGAGACGAAGTCTTGCTCTGTTGCTCAGGCTGGAGTGCAGTGGTGCGATCTCAGCTCACTGCAACCTCCGCCTCCCGGGTTCAAGCGATTCTCCTGCCTCAGCCTCCCGAGTAGCTGGGACTACAGGCATGCGCCGTCGCACCCGATTAATTTTTGGATTTTTAGTAGAGATGGGGGTTTCACCATATTGGTCAGGCTGACCTTGAACTCCTGACCTCATGATCTGCCTGCCTCGGCCTTGATCCCAAAGTGCTGGGATTACAGGCGTGAGCCACCGCACCCAGCCAGAACAAGTTCGTATCAAGTGAGCTTTGAGCATTGCTGTTAGACCTGGATTTCATTCCCAGCTCTGTTTCATCTTAGAAACGTTATTTAACTTTTCTGAGTCTGTAAACTGATGGAGTAATTCCTGCTTTCTAGAAGGGTTGTGAGGACTGACTGAGATTGTGAAGGTAAAACATTTTGCTTAGTGTGTGGGCCATAGTCAGTACCCACTACACAGTAGTTATTATAAATGTTATTTCCCCGTGTTCCTGCCTGTTTCGATTAATCAGTAGCTTACGTTGTGCACTGACCACACTCTGCACATAGAATTGTGTTTTACATTTCTCATTTTCCCTATTTTTTTGGAAACAGTTTATTCTTTTGCTCACAATTATCCTATTTAGAGATCATAGGTGTTTTTACTTCATTTTTAAAAAGACATCAATTTTTTTGTAAGCAATCCAGACGTGTGTATGCTTTACAAGCATTTAAAAATCTGTTTCAGAGCCAGCACATGAAGATTTTTGCAGGGGGCAGAGGATGTCAAAGCAGCTGGAGGTTTCTCAGGGGAGCAGGGAACCCCATGTACTTTTCCTTCCAGACACACAGTTCCCTAAACCCTGGGGTTTCCTGCTGTGTTTTTCTTGCTTCTAATTGGCCTGCCAGCTTTTCCGGCATCTCCTGGGTTTACCGAAAAGATCTTCAGTTGGGATGTTGAAACGCTGACCCAGGTGTGTTTGCCAACAGGGAAGAATCAACTCAGTGGGGAGGTGTTGGGTGCTTTCTGTGTGTTGAGCCCTGATGAGGAAAAGAGTTCGTGCCCCAGAGGGGTTCTCAGTCTTTGGGGGACTGTGACATCATCACGGCAAGACAAGTGCTCTGTAATCACTGTGCCCCAGGTGCCTTGGGAGCAGAGGAAGTGGCCCCCCCCCCCCCCGAGGTCACGTTGTGCTGAAGTGATGGGTAAGAACGGTGCGTGCCAGGTAGGCGAGGGGACAAACGCACTGCACCTGAGGCGGCGGACGCAAGCCGGCTTGTCCCAAGCACTGAAGTTGGCAAAGCCAGAGCGCATCCTTTTGTTGTTTTGGGGGTGGGTTGGAGGTGGCTCTCGTGATCCTGGCACGTGAGGCAGGCCTGGATCATGAGGCTGCTAGTGTGGAATGCTGAGTTCTTTTCGACTTGGTAGACAAAGGAAGACAGCAGGAACAGCCAGAGGGGCGGTGGGGTTGCGTCTGCGTGTTTCAGCAGGATGGGTTTGCTTGAAAGTGGCTGGCGGCTCCGCTGTGGCCACGAGAGGAGGAAAGATCTAGCGCGGGTCTCTCGCTGCACACTGCGGACGGCAAGGTGTCCTTAATTCGAAGCAGGTTAATCTGTACAGAAACTAAATTTGGAGATTGGAGGAACCTCCAACTCCTGGAATCTTTGTCGAGAGGAAGGGTTCCTGAAGGCCAGCCCAGGGCCACTGCCGGTCTAGAGTTAAGTGTTCAGCCCCCTGAGGTGAAGTGATAAGAACTACAGGACTGAGCTTTCTTTAAAATGAAACAGATTCCGTTTCAAGGATGGTCTTTATTCGGATGTTTGTGTCTTCCTGAGTTCTTGGTGTTGAAATGGCTGTTCTTGCGTGGTGGTGGTGGCGGTGGTGGTAGACGGTAACTGTGTCCCCGTGTCCTTGGGGAGCAGTGCTGTGTCCCGACGCCCCCCAGCAATGACGGCTGTTTGAGGGACCCCGAAGTCAGCCTTGGGGACCCGGGACCAGCGTGCGTTCGTGGTGGGCAGCACCACCTATTGGCACAACGTGGCGTTGCAGGCCCTCTGGCTAAATTTACGAGCATGGGAGGGATGAGACTGTGCAGTCATCAACGGCCTCATAAATCAATTAAGTCCAAATCTGCTGGCCCAAGCCCACGGGTGCTTAAAGGGAAGCTCCGGGTTGCCCACCGTCCGGAGCCACACGGGGACCAGCGAGGATCTAAGGTCGGGAAAGGAGACTGAAAAAGGCCACGCCTGCACCTGGGCCAGAAGCCTGCGGCTCTGGGCTGGCTGAAGGAAGCTGAGGGCTGGCAGAGTGGGCAGCCACTCTCCCGCAGAAGTCCTGGCATCACACCACTCCATCTGGGAAGCCTCAGCTCCTGTATTTAAAAACATGTTTTTATGATTGTCAGACATGCTCTTCGTTGAATGGGACCATTCAGAAAAGAGCAGTGAGAAAAGTAAACACCCAGAAAGTCGCTTAAAATTTTGATATATTCCACTTTTTTTCTGTGCACATACATGTTATGTGTATTACGGTTTTGTAAAATAAGATCATCCAGCATGTAGGGTTTTCGTAAGCTTTATTTTTATCTTTATTTTATGTGGTTTTGTTTTGTTTGAATCAAGGTCTCCCTCTGTCACCCAGGATGAGTGCCTGGCATGACCATGGTTCAGGGCGGCCTGGAATTCCTGGACTCAAGCGATCTTCCCACTGAAGCCTCCCCAGCAGCTGGGGTGACCGGCATGCCCAGCACACCTGGCTAATTTTTTTTATTTTTTTATTTTTAGTAGAGACAAGGTCTCACTATGTTGCCCAGGGTGGTCTCGAATTTCTGGACTCAAGCGATCCTCCTACCTCAGGCTCCCAAAGTGCTGGGATTATAGGCGTGAGCCACTGTGCCTGGCCAGTTTTCTGTAACTTCAAATTCATCTTCTCAAAGAATATTTAAACCCTGCCTCGTTTTTATTCTGTGGATAAACTCCAGTTAATACATTTTGTTAACATTTTTTATCTTGTAACTGTTCATTTGTTTAGAGACAAGCTGTCCCTCTGTCTTCCAGGCTGGAGTGCAATGGCGCCAGCTCGGCTCACCGTACCTTGACCCCTCCAGGCTCAAAGGACCCTC